GAGGAATAGAGAGAAGAGGAAGAAAAAAAAAACAAAAAAAAGAGAAAGGAAAAGAAGAGGAAGAAGAAGGAAAAAAGAAAAAAAAAAAAAAAAAGAAGAGAAAGAAGAAGAAAAAGTAGAAGGAAGATAGGGAATTATCTCGGTGCCGTAGGAGTACTAATTTCCTAATTACTCGAGGCAAAAAGCCATTAGACCGTCTCGCTGCGCAATCTAGTCGTCACCTTTTAATCATTATAACTTTATCGCGAGAAGAATGACGGTCTCTTTCTCGGTCGGCTAGTAGTAGTAACTCGAAGATACACGAGCGGCACGGCTTACGTGCTCTCTCGCATTATAAACGTCCCGAGGTAACCAATTTTGCAAAATTACTAGCGATCCTGCCTCTGGTAACCTCGTGCGCACTTGTGAAAACCGCCATTAATATCGAGCTCGCTAACATTAAAAGAAAATAAAGGAAAAAGAAGAAGAAGAATAGATATTTTCTATCTCCTTATTTAACAATAGCGATTCTATAATAAAGTAAATAATTTTTATTAAAATTCGACAAGAAATATAATCCTCGATAGAATGCAACACGAAAGCCCTGCTCTTTTCTTGTTGAGTCGCTTAGAATGGCACGTGGTCACGTGAATTTTAAACTTTTCACAGAGAGAGAGAGAGAGAGAGAAGCTCCGTCCCTCTCTCTTTCTCCTCGCCCCTCTCCTCTCTCTCCATCTCTTGGATGAAAAGAGAAAGAAGGATCTTGGGACGTCTTTTCGAGTGTTTTTGAGACTCAGAAGGGCGCAAACTTTTAAGTGTTCCGTCGGGACTTGTCGAAATTCTTTGAGTACGTTCAAGTTTTACACGGATCAACCGTCTCTCTCTTTCTCTCTCTCTCTCTCTCTCTCTCTCCCTCGATGGTTAAAGATACTGCTGATAGTAACTGTAAGAAACGTAGAGAAGACCTACCCGCGTGATCTCGTGGCGTTCGATGAATTTTAACGAGGATGAAAAAGAGAACGGTAACTCGATATATCGATTCGTTATTTTTCTTATTCTTTGCCGATGTCATCGTACCGTTCGTACGATACTAGAAGTGAAATTGTACGCGCGTGGACAAGTTTAACGTTTTACTACATTCTCGTCGTTGTCGTTGCAGAAAGGGTTAAGAGGAGAAGAAGAAGAAGAAGAAGAAGAAGAAGAAAAATAAACGAGGCAGAACTCTTCGTGGTACAATAATGAAATTTTCGTTGAAACGTAACGTAACACCGGACCTAGTACTATTACTACTAATACTACTCTATTTCTACTACACCACTGGTTGAACGAACGATTCGAATATATTTTCCTTCTCGTTCGAAACGATTCTACGTTAGATATATCGTCTCTCTCTCTCTCTCTCTCTCTCTCTCGACCAAAAAGTAGCGCGAAATTGAATTCATTAGGGATGTTCACGGTGTCGCATCCGAAACTTTGTTAGCTTAGTAATCAAATCGGTCGGTAAATAAAAGTAAAGATAAAAAGCATCAGAGAAGATAGGGAAAGAGAGAGATATTTTTCTCGTAGTGATGGAAACGTATGCATTCTGTTTCAGATATTAACTCGCAAGTAAAGCGCGTAACGTCATTGAAAATGTTCAGAGAACGAGTACACTCGTTACACCACCAGCACCATCACCAGCACTAACAACAACAACAACGGAACAGCATCAGCGAAGGGTCGGCCTGCTTGGAAACTCGCTTTTAGTGGCGCTCTTAAAGTTTCTAATGCTTTTTACGCGGCCTGTACGCCACTATCAGCGCTAACAGCGAGTTATGAATACGGAGCTGGCTTTCTAAGTGCATTAAATATGCGGCTCTGATAACGACAAAAGAGATTAAGAGAGCGAATAGAGTTCGGGGTGAGAGCGTGTTACGCGATACTCGTGTCTTGCCGGCCGAAACTAACGTTTTCAAACGAACTGGAATACCTGTGCCTTGGGTAACAATTAGAAATGAATTCTACCGTTTATTCTGCCAGGTATGCTTCTTTATCTTTCTCGCATTTAACTAAAATAGAAAAAAGAAAAAAGGGGAGAGAGAGAGAGAGAGAGAGAGAGAGAGAGAGAGAGAGAAAGAGAGAGAGAGAGAGAGAAAGAACGACGAAAAACATGTACTCCTTCAATACAATAGAGTATTCTCGTTAAGTTAACTATACGACATAGAAATGATGCTTTCTTAACAATCAGTGCCAACTTTTCTGTTAAACATTTCTTGATGATGAATAAACTTTATAACGTTTCAATGACCGAAATGACGAATGAAAAAGGAAAAAGAAAGTTACAAAACTAACCGTCAACTTTTACCGCAATACGTATTATTCTATAGCTGTATTCTATATGTGTGTGTGTGTGTGTGTGTGCACGCGCGTGCGTCCGCGTAAACATATAATAATCACCAGTTGGGATCGATATCACAAGGATCCTCATAAAATTGGAAGGGAGAATGGACGAAGGAGGTTATCCAGAATGTTAGAGTTATAATCTCGACGTGTCGCTTGAAAGCAAGCGAGACTCGATGATGTCATCCGACGAGGAAGGATTAGTCGCTTATCCACGCTCGCGTTTATAATGCTATGAAGCGTATGAAAATACGCTTCGATGTCAGACGTTATTAAACTTATACGACGAGCGGGAGCCAAGTTGTCGATATCTTTTATATTATTATGATATCAACCTAGTACTTTTCTCGTGTTAGAAAATTTTCTATTGTAGCTTAAAAAGAGAAGATGATGAAATAGAGAAAGGAGAGTAGGATGGCAAATAAACAAGAAATGATAATTATGTATCAATTGATCGAAACATTTCTCGAATAATTCAATTAGCTAATTATTCGAGAAAATATAAGGAAGACCAAAGGAAAGTTGTTTCGTATCGTTCAAATTTTGAAATTCTTTCCCACTCTCTCATTCATTATACATACATATATACATATATATATGTTTGGAAACTATCGAAGTTACAGAATTCCTATTTTGGATAAGGGGGACGGATCGCACAAGAAATTTGATTAATATCGAAGAAACCTTCCAGAATGTATGATCAAGTATCGGACAACAGTAAGATCTTGGCAAGATCGTAAATACTTTCGAATATGCGGTCAAAATTGATATAACAACAGGATCGTTCTAATACCTTCGGTATCAAAAGCGTGTATATATATATATATATATGTATATATATATGTACACGCACACACATATATGACTATTCCATACAGGATCTCTCGATATCGGCCTACGATAAATATACCAGACGTTTCTATATTAAACGATCGACGTTGAAAAATCCATGGGGAATTCGCTCGACGAAGGGAGAGAGGAGAAGTCCTTTCCAATGTTTTCATCCTGTACGGGGATATTCGAGGCATCGAAAACAACGGCGACTGGGACGATCATAAATCGTTTCGACGGTGTAACAGGTAGCTCCCCAAACCACCATAGCCTCCTCCCCTTTTCCACCTCGTCCTCGTCCACGTCCTCGTCATCCACCTACGTTACACCCTCGAGCGGCGAGCTAGAAAAATTTCTCATTTTTTCGATAACGAGGAAGGAGTCCCTTTCTGAAAACGTCTATAATAATCGCTATAATATATCTCATATCTACATAAAAAAAAAAAAAAACAAAAAAAAAAGAAAAGGAGAAAAAACAACATGCGTACACACACACACACACACAAGATTAAAGAAAAAAAGAGGAAAAAAGGGGGAAAAAAAGAAAAAAAGAAAGAATGACAAGATCCAATTTGCATGCAACATTTCGCGACAATGTCCGTTCGATTATAGGCTATGGTCGTACGTACAACAACGTATGATTCCGATTCGCGGAAGCGTCGCCTTCTTCCTGGCACGTCCACACCGTGTACGGAAAATTAAAAGGAAGAGGAGGAGGAGGAGGAGGAGGAGGAGGAGGATGAGTAGGAGGAGAAGGAGAAGGAGGAGGAGGAGATGGTGGAAGATGAAGAATAATAATAAGGAGAGAGTAGAATACATACGAATACGAAACAACTCGCAGCGTGAACGCGTCAAAGAAGATACGGTCGATCCTGTACGAGCATTCTGATTGCGAGAGCAAAAGCGAAAAAGAAAGGGAGAGAGAGAGAGAGAGATATGAAGCTGCGTGTATAAAGAAAAAGAGAGACAGGGAGAAAGGTCCCGAGGCACGCTCGTTAAAGGGGGTAAAAGCGTTTACACAGCGCCGTGTTTCACCGGGCGGCAATGTGAAACAGTTACACAATTATCGAAAAACCATTACGTCGAGACATTGACCGGTTCGGTTCCACCAAGCGAGGGCGGCGGCTATGCGTATTTCTTTGCGTATGTGCGTATTCGTGTACCGCCAACCCATGTATCCCCACCGTCATTCTCTCTCTTTTTTTCTCTCTCTCTCTCTCTCTCTCTCTCTCTCTCTCTCTCCCGGTCGGCCAAAGCAGACGAACGCGTGATTTATAACTCTCGCTCCTCGTAAATATACTCGCGACAATATATCTCTCGGAGTTGTCGTGCGCGGAGGGCCTGGCGCGGGCTTTTCGAAACGAGACTTCCTATATTTATTCGCTTTAATTCTTTTGCTTCTCGTCTTCTTTTCGTCGTCGTAGTCGTCGTAGTCGTTGCTGTTTCTCTTGCCATCGTTGTTGTTGATTTTGTTGTTGTTGTCGTCGTCGTCGTCGTCGTCGTCGTCGTCGTCGTCGTCGTCGTCGTCGTTGTTGTTGTTGTGCGCTGGTTATTTTTTTTTTCGCGACGTTTTTTTCGATGCACGAAAGAACACGTGACGAACACGAACAAACTGAAAGAAGAGGGCTGGGTCGAGATGATGGTGCTAGTAGTGGTTGCAGCGATGCCAATATGTCGGTGGTTGATGTTGACGTGGTGATGGTAATGGTGGTGGTACGAAAAGAGAAAGAGAGAGAGAGAGAGAGAGAGAGATCGAGTTTACGATCCTCGTAAAATAAATCAATAAACAGCGCGTTCTAAGGACGACTTACCAAGCTCACTCTCCTCTCCTTTGCTCCTTTCTCTCCTATGGATTCTCTCCTTTCTACCGGATCGATGCTTGGGATACCTTGTTCCTCTCGTGTATTCGTACTCGAGCGACACCTTGGAATGCGTCCTTATCGGTGGCCCCTCGACGACTACACGCGATCAGATGGTACACACGAGTAAAATGTACGCGCGTATGTTTGTTTCTCTATTGTATGATATGTATGTATATATGTGTATGTGCGTATGTGTTTATGTTTATACGAAAAAAAGGGACAAGAGAAAGAGACTATGAAAGAACAAAAGAAAAATACTTGCGAAGAAAAGATATTGTTTTTTTTTCTTTTTTTCTTGGATTTTTGTTTTTCTTTTCTTTGATAGAATAGAACACGACGACTAAAGTATATGACCTGTAATACTTACTTCTGTGAAAGGTCGACAAACGATTGACTTAATCGTTCGATAACAAATCGAATAATCGTTGCTTACATTATACATTGTTTACATTATCTTCTTGACTTTTAAAGTATTTGTTATAAGATTTGATTAACTCCTAAGTAAAAATACTCGTTTCTATGGCGTATCTCGAAAGAATCTCAACGCTTTAATGGGCATGCTATCGACGGCAAAGAGGAGCATGCTTCGCGTGACCTATTTCCGAGAGGAGATTAAATGCGATATCAGTTTATGTAGCTAATATATACAAAAGCGTGTATACACACACACACACATGTATGTACATATCTATATACCTGAGGAATTTTCACGGTTTTACGCGTGGAATATGCGAAATAAGAGAGAAAAGGTGAACGACGGGGAGTAACTCGTATTGAGTGTCTGTCTCACTTTCGCTTGGAGTATGGCAAATCGAGTACGATTAATTTCCTTAACCGTCGCTATAAATTCGCTTCGTTCGAAGCCAAAGAGAAAACGAACGAACGAACGAACGAACGAACGAACGAACGAACGAACGAACGAACGAAATAACGAACGAACGGCGGCGTCGCGTCGAGCCGGACAAAATGACTTGTCAATGAAAAGAAGATAAAGGAAAGTAACGAGAATCGAACGGACGGTCCTTCCAAGTGGCATAAATCAATTGCCGTTTGAATAATGACGAAATAGTATAAGAGAAACACCGTCGAAGGTAGTCGAATAATCCATGGAATCTAAATAAATTCTGATTTACGAGACTTTTCGCTCGTACGAGTAATGGCACGACGATTTGAATTTCTCTCTTTCTTTTTTCTTTTTTTCTTTTTCTTTTTCTTTCTCTCTTTTTCCTCTAGACTCGTAGACGCTCGTTCGACGATTAAGAAATCATATATGAACGATGAACTTGAAGTTATCATAGTAGAAGAGAGATACGATAATTTCGCGAGTTCCTTTACGTGCGAGCTATCGTTGAATTGTGTGTGCTTCTTATCCTATTCGCTTTTTTCAACATTCACAAAAATCGAGAGACTCACGTTCTAGCTTATCGAGTCGAGCTTTGCGTGACTCAAAGAGATACGCTGACACGAATCTACGAAGGTCCTCTATTTTTCTCTCTCTCTCTCTCTCTCTCTCTCTCTCTCCTTCAAAGTAAGTATAAAGAGATTAAAAATAAAAATAAAAAAAAAAAAAAAAGGATAACACAAGAAGAGGGAAGAAAAATAACCGAGGATAAAATTTTTCCGCAAAGTAATTGAAAAAAGAAAAAAAAAAAAAGAAATACAGAGCTGATTTTTATCTCGAGTCCATTTCTCTACGAATATATATCGCCCCCCCCCCCCTCGCTCCCCAAGCACTAAACCTTGTGTGTACATATATATAATATAATATAATATAATATAAATGTATATATACAGGAAGTATATGAGTCTCCTTCGAAGGCGACAAATACTACCTTTATAACTGCATTGAGAGGAGACTTTATTGCGGTTTGCAAAAGTCTCGTGACTCGCATCGAAGGGCCAAGAGAAGGGTAGAAGAACTGACTCCTTCGGGGCCTCCTTAAAATCGGCCCGAACGTAGTTACGTGACTTGATCTACGACGGTGCCCGCGTACGAACGGCCTACAATGCCTATACGACGGCTGTAAATCTTAATTCTCTGTTGCGCGCGCACATTTCACAAACACGAATCGTCTCCTCCACAGAGCTAGTTTCAAACTCCGTCTCTCTCTCTCTCTCTCTCTCTTTTTCGTGCACCATGTCGCCCCAACTTTGTCTGTGTGTGTGTGTGTGTGTACAAAGTAGAAAAGAGAGAGAGAGAGAGAGAGAGAGAGAAAAGAACATAGTGTATAGAATGAGTAAGAGAGATAGAGGGATCTCTCTTCTAAAAGGCATTTCAAGGCGCGATGGGCACATTATCGACCTTCGAGAGGGAGAGAGAGGGAGAGAGAGAGAGAGAGCCCTTCTTCCTTTTTCCTCGACATATTTTACCTTCGGCCGAAGGTGGATAACTCAAACAAATGGATAAATGCGCGCTGCTCCGAGCCGAGGCTTCGCGTTTCGACCTCCAGAGAAACAGGTTGAAGATGAATCATAGCCTTTCCTCTATCGTTTGCTTATACCGAAACGACGAATTTCTCTCTTTCTTTATTTCTTTCCTTTAAAAGCGAGAAAGGGAGAGAGAGAGATAGCTCTATTTCATTGTAAACGATCTCCGCTCGAAATTATCATAATTCGATCGTATTTTTCAATTTAAATCACAGTCTCGTTTATTAAGGAAACATCGAGTTTCTATGTCTCGTTTTTGTATCGAATTTATGTATCTCGATAGAGTTATTATTAGTGGTATTGTATCGCATTTTCCGTTTTCTTTCTCTCTCTCTCTCTCCCTCTCTCTCTTTCTTTCTCCGTTCTTTCCATTTTTCCTCTTCGTAATTATAATATTCGTACGCGCGAGTATATACATTTGGCGCGCGTACAATCAACGAGGACAAAGTATCTACGTTCTATATTCTATAAAGAGAGCAAGGAAAGCGCGAGCGCTCAAAGACTTTTCATGTTTATGGCACACGCGTGATTATGGTTTCGCATTTATGTAGCGATTATTCGCTTTCAAAGGCGCATATGCAAAGAGCATCAACGTTCGCGAAATACGCCCACCGTCGGAATCGCGATGGAGAAAGAATAAAGAAAATCTTTTTCGAGTTGGAACTTTCGTAATTTCGAAAATATCGAAATTTGCCAGCATGAAAAATTACAAATTATAAGATCAAACGTAAAGAAGATTTTTTTTCTTTCCTTTGAGTTTCTACGTTAAGTTTTATAATTCTAGATTTCTAAGCTTAAGGACAATTTCCTAATGTTATATACCTATCATTTGGAATTAATTAAAGAAAATTAGTTCAAAACGTGATCGAGAAGAAATAGGATAAGATTCATCGCAGTGTAATAATTTACAAAGAATATGTACACCCTGTAGAATTTACAGATCGAATAAACAACATAGTCGTGTCGTGTAACAAACTAAACATTTTCCAAGTAGTACGACGACGTATTGAATAATCAAAGTTTCTTTCTCTCTGTGCCTTCTAATTGGCTTATCATTATGTTAATTACAACGACGACGGATTACCCCCTTGCAAAACGAGTAAGACAACTTCGTGAGCTTTTAAAGTGGAAATTCGAAAAACGTCCAAGATGTTTCTTGCTCTCTCTCTCTCTCTCTCTCTCTCTCTCTCTCTCTCATCGAAGACAAATTTAAATGCATATTACTTCGTTGTAACTTTGGCTATTTGTCGTAAGGAAAGGAACGTAACGACGTTATCAGTTTGCAAAGATTCCCACGCGTTGCATGTCCATTACCGTGACCCTTCTAATTGGTAAAAAAAAAAAAAAAGGAAAAAGAAAAGAGAGAGAGAGAGAGAGAGAAAATGAAGTACGGACTCGTTGCTCTCCATCCTCCTATTTCTTCTCTCTATGTAAGTACAAATGACATATTACTCCTTTCACCTCGGGGTACACGTCGATCCTTCCTTTTGCCGAATCAGCTATCCGTCTTGCAAAACCCTACGCCCTGTCAACGATAATTTATAACGAAAGGCTGCTGCAAATAACAGCATCCAATTACGGTACGCGTCTCGTTTCAAACGGCGAGTGTTAACGCGTCCATAAAGTATGCGGAGCTCTACCACTCTCCTCGGGAACCGCTTCTGGTCACATTAAGAATTACGACGACGAGAATAACAATCGATGCTTCCTTCCTTCTATGTCATTTACCCTTCTCGAGGATGTACCTATATTTGTCTCTCCTGACAAGAGTAAAACAAACGGGAATAAAAAAAAAAAAAGAATAGAAAAAAAAATGACGAAAAAAAAAGGGGAATTCAATTTCCAACGATTTTCATTTACGCGACTTTTGTGTTTGAACGTTGTCAGATCGTCGTCGTTGTCGTCGTTGTCGTCTCTGACGTCTGTTTTTCGTCTCAAGAGCTCGTAGACCTTCCCGCACCCTCTGTTATCCCCATTTTCGTGACGAAATGACGTAACTTTGAGAACTTCGAGACTCGACCTTGAAGATTGCTCAACCCAACTTGTCAGAAAGAAATATATATATATATATTTTCATCAGGGTGGCTAGCGATAAAGAAGCTGCCATTGCGAAGCCGAGTCACCCTGATATCAAGCGACCCTACTAACTCTTTTCTCTTCCTTCCTTCCTTCCTTCCTTCCTTCCTTTCTTCTCCTTTTTCATCGAGCCATTAACGATCGTGTTCCTCGTGAAACGCACCTGCCATTGTTGCATTTTTCAATCTATTTTCAGACGCGATCATGTTAGTACTTCTCGACGATTATTATTCCGTAAGACGATTCCTAGGCGTGAACGGTAATTCAACGAGGCTAAACAACTCGACACCTTCGAAGAATTCCTTGCGATTACATAATCGCTTCTAAAAAATGAGATAACGTTTCTAAGTAACCAATCACTTTACTCGTATATATCATATTTATGTGAAATTATACACACACACACACATGCGATTTTTAAAGAGTTTTCTAACCATTTTCAAATGGTATAACCCATTTTATAACCCAGTAACTCGATACAATTCGATCTCATGCCAATGATAGATAGATAGATATAGGTAGAGAGAGAGAGAGAGAGAGAGAGAGAGAGAAAAGTCAAAGCCCACGCTAACACTCTATAATGATAGTGTATT